TCTGCCTTCGGCTCGGGTCATGATCCCAGGGTCCTGGGATCGAGCCCCACATCGGGCTCCCTGCTCCGTGGGAAGCCTGCTTCTCCCTCTCCCACTCCCCCTGCCTGTGTTCCCTCTCTCGCTGTGTCTCCCTCTGTCAAATAAATAAATAAAATCTTTATTTAAAAAAAAGGGCTCTATTAATAAGATGACAGATGTGAACCAGAACTGCCTTGGCAAAGGAGGATGTGTAATCTCCCCTCTCCGCACAGGTGAAATGCAATGAGCAACCCAACCGGGTCGAGATCTATGAGAAGACAGTGGAGGTGCTAGAGCCAGAGGTCACCAAGCTCATGAAGTTCATGTACTTTCAGGTGAGGGGGTAAGGGTGGGTCTGAATCAGGAGACTCGAGAGTCCCCACTCTGCCAGCTACTGGGGTCTGGATTTTTGACCCAGGTTATTTGTCCATGGAGCAAATACTTCTTGTTTGCCCCTGACACACCCCTTGGTGAGCAAGACAGACAAGCCTCCCTCTCTCCACGTGATTTACATCCTAGTGAGCACGCAAGTGTGTTTCGGGTAGGAGGAGAGACTGACAGTAAACAATACTCACTCCTTTTCAGGGTGTAATAAGTGCTGTGAGTAAGATAAAATTTAAAAATCATAACTCTGGGGTGGAGGGTGTCTGTGACCTGGTGCAGCTTTAGGGACACACACACACACTGTTTTGTTTTGTGTTTTGTTTAACAAAAATGGGATTCAATTACGCTTCATGTCCTGCAGGTTTTTTCACCTGTCAGTTTGTGGTAGCAATCTCTCCATACTGAAATCTGTATGTAACAGTCATCTGGCGTGTGAGGATCGGAGGAAGAAGGTTTCAGGCGGAAGGAACTGCAAAGGCCTGAAGGGGCACAGCGCGTTTAAGAAATACCAGGCAGCCAGGCGGGCTGCAGTGAGTTGGGACGGCTGACGGAAGGCGACCTGGGGGAGGTAGACAGGACCTGATCTTCAGGGCACTGTAGGCCAGGAAGTAGGACATGAAAAGAGTATGTGGATTTTACTCGAGCACCATAGAAGCCACTGGAGGTTCCTCGTGACGTGTTCTGGTTTGAGGTTTTGCAGCACCGTTCTGGCTGCTGTGAGGGAAATGGATGGGAGGTGGGGGACAGTTACAGATGCGGAAGGTGGGAGGGGAGAAGAGTGACAGCAGGGAGGCCAGCTGGGAAGCCAGAAGGAGGAGTCATTTCAGGAGGAAAAGAGAAAAGAGCGCCGTGGGGCCTCCATGAATGGAAGGCAAGAGGGCAAGCTGGTTAAACAGAAGTGGCAAAGGGAGAATAATGCCAGTCGGTTGGTTATTCTGGTCATGTCGGACACTGTGCGGGAGTGCAGATTGAAGACTTGGAGGCCAGTCTGTACCCTGGAGCGGGGTCGTGGCACACGCTCTGTGCCCTCCACAGGTTCCACGGAAGCACTGAGCGTCATGAATAGCCTCGCAAGCACTGGCCGGATGTCCACCCCGCACCCAGCTCTGCCCAGGCCTGGGGGTGGGAGATGGGACTGTCTGGGAAAGGTGCAAATGCATGCAGCCCAGGGCAGGAGGGCTGGCTTCCGAGGCAGAGAAACTCAAGGTTCTGCACACTGTCCCTGTGTGCCTGTGAGTTCTGTAACATCTGACACCTTCAGTTCTCACCTTGGAAATCATGCCTCATCTCAGGTGTGTGGTGAGGATAAAGGAGGTCTGTTTGTGAAGAGCCAAGTGGAGCCCTGGTCACAGAGTAAGTGTGATAAATGGCAGCCGCTGTGACTAGCATCACGGCCCTGCCCTCAGGAGCCTGGTCTCTTTGGGAAGGCAGGTCCAAGAGAGAAGAACTATCCGGAGGCTGATGGAGTGCTAAACGAAGGGCCTTCCGACAAAGTATTTAGAGAAGGGAGGATCTAGAGTAATCTAGAACTATGCTGTTCAACACAATAGCCATTAGCCATATGGGACTATCTACGTGAAAACTGAATAACACTTAAAATTCAGGTCCCCCAGCGCACTAGCCACGAAATGAAAAGTGCTCAGTAGCCACTTGTGATGAGTGGCTGCTATATTGGACAGTGCAGTCATGGAACATTTCCATCGCTGCAAAAAGTTGCGTTGTTCTTGGACTGTGAAAGGAGAAAATTGGGCTTGTCTGGGCTTTGAAGGAGGGGACTGATTCACTGGGGTGGGATATCCCATGTCCATGGAGTGAAGTTCACATACAAGAGTGATTTCTCTCCTTCCCCCCTCCCCCTCCTCTTCTTCTTCCTCAACCTCCTCTTCTCTCTGTGTCTCTCTGAATTGTTGCTTTAGCCTATTTTTGTTGTTGGTCAGCTGCTTTTTTTGGTAACATATTTTTTGAATATAATTCACATAACATACAATTTATCCATTTAAATTGGACAATTCAACAGTTTTTATTAGTATATTCACAGAGTTGTGCATCCATCACCATAATCAGTCATAGAACATTCTCACCCCCCAAAAGAAATCCTATACCCTTTAGCTACCACCCCATCATACCCTCTACCTTTCCCCCTCCAGCTCTAGGTAACCACAAATCTGTCTTATGTCTCTATGGATTTGCCTCTTCTGGACATTGCATTTAAATGAAATCACATAATATGTGATCTTTGGTGACAGACTTCTTTCACTTAACATATTGTTTTCAAGATCCATCCATGTTGTAGCATGTACCAAAATATATGACCAAATACCTAATCTACTGTATAGATCTATCACATTTTATTTACATATTTATTAGTTAATGGACATTAAGTTATATCCACTTTGGGACTGTTATGAACAAGGCTGCTGTGAATATTCATGTATACATTTTGGGGGAGATATATTTTCATTTCTCTTAACTATTCTCCCTGCTTCTGTCTTTGCCGCTTACAGTCGATTCTCACCATAACAGCTACTGTGACCCTTTTAAAATACAATTCAGACCATGTTACCTTTGACTCACTCAGTGTAGAAACCTGAGCCCTCACAAAGGCCTGTGAGAGCCAGTGGCCCTGGTCCCTCTCTGCCTCCAGTTTCTTCCTTCTGCTCACTTCACTTCAACCACCAGCTTCTTGTTCATCTTTCAAACATGTCAGGGACACTCCTGCCTCAGGGCCTTTGCACTGGCCACTCACGTTATCCAGAATGCACTTCCCTCAGTTACCCTGTCTTTCTCCTCTTCTTTCAAACTCTTTTCCTAAAAGTCACCTCTGGATGATTTCTTCTCTGATCTTCCTACTAAAGTGTACAGCTCCCCCTGCCCTCCCTACCCCCCTTTCCTGCTTTATTTTTCTCCATGGTGCTTATCACATTCTAATATAGAGTATCTGTTTTGTTTTCTGCCTTTCCTCACATATAAGTGCCTTAGGGCAGAATTTTTTTTTTCTGTTTTGTTCTCTACTCTCCTCCAGTGCCTAGAATGTTCCTGGCATGTAGTAGATGCTCAATAAATACTATTTATTGGATGCATGAGCCTCTCTCTCTGAATGTCTCTCTCACTCTTGGTCCCTACCCTACTCGTGCCCTGACACTGTCCTAGATGCCGTGATAGAAAAAATGAGTAAGACATAATACTTCGCAGCAAAGGCATGGTGAATAAATTCATTGGTTTGACTCACTTGGCTGCAGGTTCTGGGCTCCCCTCTTGAAATGAGCTCTGGATTAGGGACCCCTCTAAGAAAGATCTCCTGGCAGATCTGACTTTCTCTAAATGTCCACGCTCTGACCAGAGCCCCAGGGGAGGGAGTCTTGATCCTGCTCTCCGCACAGAGCACAGTGAGCCACCCTCCGGGGCTGCCTGTCCTTACTTGCCGCCCCTCCACCTGCAGCGCAAGGCCATCGAGCGGTTCTGCAGTGAGGTGAAGCGGCTCTGCCACGCTGAGCGGAGGAAGGACTTTGTCTCTGAGGCCTACCTTCTGACCCTGGGCAAGTTCATCAACATGTTCGCCGTCTTGGATGAGCTGAAGAATATGAAGTGCAGTGTCAAGAATGACCACTCTGCCTATAAGAGGTCAGGGCACCCTTCCCCGACCCCCCTCTTCCTGCGGAGCTGGCCTTGGGGAGGCAGAGGCTAGAGCCCTTCTGCCGGGCTCCTCCTCCAGATCCAAACTAACCATTCCCCAACCCTATAGGGTGGACCTATATCTGTCTTTGCAGTTTGAGGGAGAAGATGCCGAGCTGAGTCTTTGGAAAACTGGGTCTTTGTAGGTGTTCTGTCTTAAGACGGGGTCGGAGCCTCATTTTCCCCTACCTGTAGTGGTTTCCCATGCAGTTTGGGACCAGGAAAATAATCAAAAGATGGTCATATCAGTCATTTCCTGCAAGAGTCAGAAAGCCAATTCAAACTGTTTATATAAAAGAAGGAACTAGATTGGCTCCCAGAACTGAACAGTTTCATTGTATCTGGATCCAGATACTCAGATGATGTTGGTCTGTTTCCCTCTGCCTCTCAGCTCAATTTTCCCGGATAGCAGCTTCATTCTCAGGCAGGCCTGTGCCCTGTGGTGGTCACCAGCAGCTGTAAGCTTCCCTCTGACCAGTGTAGCAGCCCCAGCTTCAAAGGAAAGAAAGGGTGCTTCTTTCACATACTTTTGCAAAAGTCCCATGGAGGATTGTCATCGCTCTGGCTTGGGTAGCATGTGGACCCCTCCCTCAGTCCCTGCTGTGAGTGGGGCCTCCAGTTGGGCAGGTGCTTGCCAGAGTCAGTTGGGGGTCAGTGTCAGATGAAAGAGAGACTGAGAGTGGGTCAGGAATTGTCACTCTCCAGACATCAGGATACAGCCACCCAGAAGGTGGCAGAGGACATTTGAAAGCAACAGGTATCTTTCCTGTATGTTGCTGAGGCTCAGATGAGCGCTGCAGTGTTTGGGGATGTTTCTTGGGAAGGCTTTTCTGTGTCACTGGTGAAGAGGGCCCCTCCTCCTTGAGTCGCATCCTCCTGGGGCTCCAAGGGAACTGGAGAAAGCAGGGAGCAGACCGATTCCCACCCTTGTATCCTCCTGAGTGGACTGCGTAACCTGGGGATACGTGCCCACAGGCAGAGCCCCATCTCCAGCCTGGTTCAGAAACGGCAGCTTGCACAAAGATTTCGGAGACAACTCACGGCATAGTATCTCCTGCATCTCCCCCCCTCCGCCCCTCCCCCAGTTTCTCTCCAGTTTTGGCCACTCCTTGCATTTGGCCACAAGTGACACGCTCACAAGCCATGTGAGCAAGGTGGGTGTCTTGTCTGTGCTCTCACAGGCGGCCCTGACACAGGCCGCACCACCACCAGGTGAGGCTGGAACGGCTCAGGCGCCGTGGTGTTCCCCCTTCGAGCCCATCATCCCTTCATCTGCAGTCCTGTTAGCTGGAATAGATGTGTTTCCATGCAGGGCTTTGCTTTACAAACTTGGAGGTTTCCTGTAAATAACATAGTCCACGCAAAACCAACACGTGCCCTGCCTGGGATTCTTCTCCCCATTTCCGCTGTGCGGTCCCATGGCAGGTCACAGCCCGGCGCAAGGATGTTTCTTTCACTCTGGCTTGCCACCTCTGGCTGGTTGATAGGATGCCAGATGCCCTTAAACTTGCTGGGTTTGACCTTCAGCGTATTCTTGCCTCTTAATTGTAGGTGCTATTATTCCAGAGTGTGCCTGGCCCCCAACGAAAGACTGCAGAATCCACTCTCCTTAGACAGTAGAGTCCGCTGTGCTATTCATCGCACTTTAGCCGCGGGGGGTGGTGGGGCACTGGGTTAGGTGGGAGCGGGATCGTGAGGCCCGGCGTGGGCGGGCTGTGCTTGAGCAGTCCTCTCCGCGACTCCGTGTGCAGGGCGGCACAGTTCCTGAGGAAGATGGCGGACCCCCAGTCTATCCAGGAGTCGCAGAACCTTTCCATGTTCCTGGCCAACCACAACAGGATCACCCAGGTGATGGCACATTCCTTGTTCATCTTGGCCTGGCGTCCCATGCCATAGGCAGGGGCCTGATGATCGAGGAACCACGAGCAGGGGAGCTCAGTCCAGATGAATATCCCCCACTTTCCTACTCCTGAATTAGCAGACTTAAGTCTCTCCTCCCAACTACAGGTAACCCTTTTACCCTCCGTGGATTTTGTTCCCTGAAAGCCTTCCCAGCCCGCACGTTACCCCCACATCAGCAAGGATGAGAGCCTGGGTTCTGGAGTTTGACAGCCTTGTTTTCTAATCCTGGACCCTCCACTGATCCCTTGTGAGACCTTGAGCAAGGTCTAAGCCTCAGTTTCCTCATCTGTGAAGTGGAGCTGTTATTTTGAGAATATGAGCTCCATCTCCTAGGACTGTTGTGAGAAATGAGACACCATTTCAAAAGCCCTTAGTGAGCAGAGCCTGACGAATGGTAAGAGCATAAGCTGCTGTAGCTATGGTTATGGCCGCCACCTTGCTGGACGCCCCCATCAGCTACGGCTCTCATGCTCTGACTTTATGTAACCCATCTTGCTCACCTGTCAGGTCAGCCTAAGCACGCACCAGCAAGAATGTGAGCAGGGCCCTGGCTGAGAGGGGCCCTCCATCTTGGAAACATTTTCAGGCCCAGACCTCTCTCGGGGTTGCTGCTGGCTTCACTGGGCCCTTCCTGCTCTTGGTTAACTGCGCAAGGCTGTCAGCGTTGACGTGTTTCTTTCCCGAGACTCAGCCCCACGTCTCAGCCCCAGCTTGTCTGTGGAGAGCACTAGCCGTGTCTCCCACAGCATCCCCCACAGGGGCCCAGGTTGTCCCTTTGGAGAGAAAGGGCCTGAGGTGGAGACCTCGGACTCTTCTCCAATGGGAAATGCTCCTGTACCACTCTGTCCTGCAGGAGGGGCACGCCTGCTGGTCCCGCTCTCCTCTCCCGGGCTGGGTCTTTCTGTCATCATCTGAGATGTCATGGCTAAGGCTACGCCCTCAAAACCAAGCCTAGATTGCGACAGACCTGTTGCTGTAAAGCTGAACTGCTTTTCAGCTCAGCCCAAGAAAGTACTTTCTAACTATCAGAATTGCCGGGAAATAAAAGGGAGGGCTCCGGGGAGGGGGGGGTGGCTTCCCTGCCATGGGGGGTGCACAGGAGCTCCTACCAACCACCGTGGGGACTTTGAGGAGGAGATGCAGGCTCCGTCCACCCGGGATGGTCAGGGGGGCTGTGCCCTGTCACTGCCAACCAGCTGTGGGCCTTCTGGGGTGGGGGTGGGGCAGGAGAGGGGCTAACGGGGAGGGGGGGCCCTGCTCTTCAGTGTCTCCACCAGCAACTGGAGGTGATCCCAGGCTATGAGGAGCTGCTGTCAGACATTGTCAACATCTGTGTGGACTACTACGAGAACAAGATGTATCTGACCCCCAGCGAGAAGCACATGCTGCTCAAGGTACACCTGCAGTCCCACGCCCCAGCGCCTGGGCTTGCCCTCCACCTCCTTCTTATTGAAAATCATTTTAAAAAAGGAAAAACGCTTACTTTTTCTTATTTAAACACTGATACGGATCTCACTGGACATAATACTTTGTGATCCTCTTTTGTTTCCCTTTAATACGTCAGCGACACCTTTCCAGATGCTGTTCGGGGTATTTCTGCAATGTAGTTTTTAATGGCCACTGAGGAGCTCGCTGCACGTGGACTTTGTTATTAAACAAATCCTCTGTCATTGGATATTGGTTTGCTAAACTGCACTGAGCATTCTTACAGCACAACTTCTGTGTCCACGCTCTTGCCAAGTCAAACATCCTAGGGGAGAAATTGCTGACTCAAAGGGAAAGCAAAATCTTCAAGCTTTTGCTGTATTTTGCCAAAATAGTCACATTTGTTCCAGCAATTTGCAAGTTCCATTTCTAAATTATCAAGTAATATTTATTGTAGAAAATCAGGAATATATAGAAAAGCACAAACAGTTTTTCTCTCTCACCATCTTTCCCTCCAGAGGTAGCACTTCTAGCATTTTGATGTATTTCCTTGTAATTTTTCTACACTTACGCGCTTTCAGCATACACAATATGCATAAATTATGTGTGTGTGTGTAATTTTTATCCCATTTCATTAAATGTAGCGCGGATGTTATGCAGCCACTAAGGTACGGATGCCCTTGCATTTCTTTGGCCATTCCTCTGCCTCTGGCTGCTTGGGTTGTTCCTGATTTCTCTTGATGGCGGTAGTGCTGAGATGAGCAGCCTTCTGTGTGTTCTTCTGACACGCTGCATAGCCCCTTTTGAGTCTTTGTTCTCCAAAACCTCCCCTTTCGATGTTCTCCTGGTAGTTTTGTTTTTCCTCCTCTCCTCCATGCCACTCTCACCCACCAAGCACTCCGAGACGCTGCCAGCAGGTTTTCCCTCACGGGCTTTTGAGCCCTCCTCACCTCTGCTTCCCAGCCCTGAGCTCTCCCTCTCTTCCAGCCTGGGCTCCAGGTCTCAACGCTGGCTCTTCCCCCGTTCTGCAAGTTTGTGTCCATGAACTCAGATGCCACCAGGGGCACCTCTCACCTTTGGTGGGAGAGTCTGGTGCACACCCTGCAGAGCACTGGGACGGAATGGGACTAAGGGGGATGTGACCTTCGTGGTCCTCTAGTCCAGGCCCTTACGTGTCAGGTGTGACTTCCCCACAGTCACAGCAGCTGTGAGCCCAGGGAAGCTGCTTTCAACCTCATTGTTCAGGCCCCCATCAGCCTTGCTGTGCATTTGACAAAAGGAGGAAAACATGTCAGCATTCGAGAAGCTATTAAATGGACCAGCATATCAAGAGTCAGCCTGGTGACCTGCTTATAGGGCATTGTCGGGCAAAAATGTGTTCTGAATGAAGTCACCAGTGGCTCCTTGGGAATCCATACGTTGTTTTAGCTTCCTTGGGAAAAGAAGTGAATAGTTTTGTGTTCATTCAACACTGAGATGGTATTCCCAAGTCCCCGTGATGTGCTAGACCCCGGGGATGCAGCAACAAGCAGCGCTCAGCCCTTTCTCGCAGGAAGCATCTAAATGTGTAGATGTTGTGGTCAGATCTGCCTTCAGACCCTGTCTCTGCAACCTATTAGCTATGTGACCTTAGCAGGCTGGCTAACCTCTCTGTGTCTCTAATTCCTTGTCTGTGCAATAAGATCATTGTGTAAACTTGACTCATAAGATTGTTGTGAGAATTGAAGAAAATACCCGGGAATGCCCTACGCACAGACTCCAGCCCATAGTAAGGACTCAGCAAGCAGCCACCATAATAACCTACTACAGGGTGGTCTGAGTTCTACGGAGAAATCAGATTTTTAGTTGAAATTAGATTTATGTCTCCTTTCTTCAACTGAAGACACGTGGGTTTTGAAAGAGAAGGTGTTCCTACAGGATGTGCATGTGTGTGTGCACAGACCCCCTTTTTTAATTTTTTTGTTTTGTTTTGTTTTTAAAGCTTTTCCAATGGTCGTGATGGGCTTCTGTGCTCTGCCCCTTCTCGCTCTAGGTAATGGGTTTTGGTCTCTACCTGATGGATGGAAATGTCAGTAACATTTACAAACTGGATGCCAAGAAGAGAATCAACCTCAGCAAAATTGATAAGTTCTTTAAGGTCAGTACCTGAGGGTGGGGCTGGGCCGCAGGGTGCTCTCTCTGGGGAAAGGGAAGAAATCGGCTTGTTGATGGAACTGCAGCTCTAAAGACCCCAAGAAGAGGAGGAAGATAGAATGACAGGGCCTCCAGCCGCCCGCTGTAGAAGGTGCTACACTATTGAAGTCTGTCGCATTAAAGTCAAACGTGCTCCCGAGTCTCAGGATTCGGCTGTGAGAGGCCTTACAGTTTTTCTGCATGTTGCCTTTTCTCTTTCCTGAAATCCCTCACTATCTAAAGAAAGAGATGCATCCCAGAAAACACCGCCTGCTTTAATTTTCCATATAAATCAGAGCTCACAGAAGCAGGAGGATTAAAGACTGGATTTTAAATTGATGACAATTTGCAAAGTCACAGCCTCTCCTGGTCCACGGGGGACTCCCTCGCCTCACCCCTGCCTCTGGGCACAAGGCCTCATCACAGTCCATTATTCACCCAGACCTTTGCAGTGCCTCAGACATTTGATCTTCTGGCCCCAAATTTTTAAAAATAAAACCTTGGGGTTAAATGAAGCCTTTGAGGTTTTCATGAAGGGATTTCTTGCTTTGGAATTGAATTCCATGGTATCGGTTTATACGAGCATTGGGCACTCCAGGCGTGGAGTGGAGCCTCAGAGGTCAGACATGGAAACACCAGGCTTACCATTAAAAGTGGAACCCCTCAAAAGTATGGCATGGGGGACACTGGGCTGGGCCTAGATCCCACTGACTTTTCCAGGTTAAGGGGGAAATAAATCACCAAAAGACATCCTGTGGCTTTGCATCTTTTCAAGGCCAGAACTTTCACTCTGCTCTGGAGCTGCCCTAAATGAAAACAGGGCTCATCTCAGGAGACCTTGCAAAATCCACCTCTGCCCTCAGTCAGCATGAGTGAGATCGGGGTGCAGTTGAGAAATACAACTCTGCCACAGTCGGTCCTGAGTTTTAGTCTGGCTCTGCCACTTGATAGCTGGATAACTCTGGGGAAAATCATTAAACCTTTCTGAAATGGAGTTCCCCAGCCTGAAAAATGTGAATGCTAAGGGTATCTATCTACTTGCTAGGGTTCCCTTGAGGATTTAGTAGGAAGGACATACGTGAGTCAGAGCCCTGGATTACAGTCCTGGCTCCTTGATTTCTAGCTGGCTTGACTTTGTGTGAAAATCACTTGAGCTATCTAAACCTCAGTTTTTTCATCTGTGAAATGGGGATGATAATAGTACTGACCTCACGAAGTATTTATATGGATCGAGATACTGTTTTTTGTTTAATAGCCTATTTTTTAGAGCAGTTAAACTTCACAGCAAAATTGAACAGAAAGGGCAGTTTTCCCATTTATCCCCTGCGCCCCCTCACCATGCACAGCCTCCCCCATTATCAAAATCTCCCACCAAAGGGATGTGTTCTCTACAATCAGCAAACCTCCACCGACACATCATTATCACCCAAAGTCCATAGCTTACATTAAGGATCACTCTTGGCGTTGTACATTCTGTGTGTTCTGACAAATGCAGAATGACATGTACCCACCACTGTCCTAAGAATCTTCTGGTTTTGAAGTGCTTGACATGGTGCCTACTGCCTAGAAGCCAGCAGTCCACCCCAGCCTCCTCTCCATTTGTCCTGGTCTTCACTTGGGACTTGTCTGCCCTTTAGTGTTTGGTGTTAGGGTTTCAGTTGCTTCACATTGTAGAGTTGCCCAGGAAGGCCACACCCAGACAGCGGCATCCACGTATCCACTCCTAGTCCAGAGTTCACAGCTGCAAGGATCCACAAATCCCAGGGAAGTTAGAGCAGAAAGAACCTGCCCTGGGAGGCAGGCCATCTGGCCCTCATCCTTCATCCATTCTGCCTGCTATGTTACCTTGGACAAATCACTTTGCCCCTTTGGTCTCAGTTGCTGGAACATGGGTTGGCTGGCGGCAGGGGAGGACCTGTATACTGTCTGGGACTCTCTTTGGTTCCAAGGTGACCCAGTGGCATGATCAGAAGCAGAACCTAGGGGTTGGCCCAGAGGTACACAAAGGCCTGCTTTCCCCAGTGGAAGGCAGCCTTCCGGCTCCTCCCTCAGCATCTCACACCTTGTGTTTGCTTCCTTTGCAGCAGCTGCAAGTGGTGCCCCTTTTCGGCGACATGCAGATAGAGCTGGCCAGATACATTAAGACCAGTGCTCACTATGAAGAGAACAAGTCCAAGTGAGTGCCTGCCATAATGTCTCTCGGCTCCCGTGAGGATGCCCAGCCCGGGCAGGGGGCCGAGGGGCCACTTCAGCCCCTCCTCCCTCCCCAGAGCCCTGGGCAGGTGGATTCCATCGCAACACTGGCACCCAGCCAGCCAGAAGGGAACAGCGGAGGGTGCTCTGAGCCCTTTTGTATCTGCCCTTTGCTGCCAGGGTTCAAAAGTGCTCAGAGCACAGCCACGCCCCTTCTCAGTCCTGGCGCTGACCTGTGCTGCCCACAGTGGGACAGCAGGAGCCCTCCTTCCCTCGAGAAGGGGGAGGACTGGCTGGCCCTCAGTGGTCGGGTGGAGCAAGAAGGCATTCTTCAGCACCTCGATTCTCTCCTCAGATTTGTGTCCATGCAGTAAGTATGTCATTGAGTATATGGTTTGGACGGTTCCACCTGTGAAGTGAGTCGATAGCCTCGCCTTAGATTGCTTTATAAGCCACCGTTCCAGGTAATCTGTGCTAGGACCTGGGGCATCAGTGACTCCGTGGCAGGTGGGTGACACCCAGCTCCAGCCTGGGCCAGCCATTCTATTGATCGCTGGGGTTGTTAGTAAGGTTCCTTCTGTCTGCATCTTTCCCAAAGCTGAGTGAATATGATCTTTCCCTACAGAGAGGGGCTGACTGTCCTTTAGTCAGAAGTGGGGGTTAGCGCCTAAAAAGTAGGTAAATGGAGTGTCCTTGAACCCCACCAGCCTTGAGCCCCTGCGAGGGAGTCTCACCGAGGAAGCTGGTTTAGTCTCTTCATAACCTGCTGGCTACTAGTGTGTGAGGAGGTTTTCTAGGAAGAGCATGGAGCTGAGAAGGCTGAACTCCTTTCCTCACGTTTCCTGCATGCATTCTTGACCACCTGAAGTTGGGTGGGAGTGGTGATGTGGTCACAGCAGGGTGTCAGAGGTTTGAGTGTAGTGTCCCCATCCATGTACAAGTAAGCCAAAATAAAAGTCATGCCAAAGTATAAGCATGAGTAAGTATCACCAGTCCAAGTATTCTTAAGAGAACCACTTCAGGGAGATCCTTTTGAGATAATAATTTTTTTTTTAAGATTTTACTTATTTATTTGACAGAGAGAGACACAGCAAGAGAGGGAACACAAGCAGGGGGGAATGGGAGAGGGAGAAGCAGGCTTCCCGCTGAGCAGGGAGCCCGCTGCGCTCGATCCCAGGACCCTGTGATCATGACCTGAGCCGAAGGCAGACGCTTAACGACTGAGCCACCCAGGCGCCCTGAGATACTAAATTTTTCCCAAAATGTTTATCCGCCTTGTTTGGTGCCCATGCTTAGTCTGTCTCCTGAGTCACCCAGCACCAGATGACAGAATGGGGGTAAAGGGGGCTATCTTTTTTCTCTTGGGTAAGGAGAGTGAAGACTTTCATTCATTGATTTCCTCTCCATTTTAAGATGGTTTTCCCAATGATATCTTTACAAAGAGTTGAGGAGAAAGGGGAAGGGCAAGGGAAACAACAAGGGGGTGGGGAGAGAGGGAGGGTGGGAGGGAGAGCATGCCAGCAATACCTCTCAGAACACACGTTATCCATCCACCATGGAGTCCTTAATGTTGCCTGATCACTGTTGAAAAAGAGGCAGGATCCCTGTGAGTTTCCCCAGTCCCACCCTAACGGCCCCACCAAAGCCAGCTTCACCCTCAGGATGTCAGTGCTGACAGTCAGTAGGCAGATTTGGGGAGGTCGCCCACCTTGCCTTTTCTTTGCTCGGTTTCCAGCTCTGTAGCCCTAGAGAAGCTCCTCACTCATATAACTGGTAAGTACTGCGGACACAAGTTACCTGGAAAAGCCTGTGATTGAGTCTTAGAGGAGGAAGATTATTCCACTCAGCCTGTGGCAGGCTTTCTTGCTGGTGACTGGGTCACTTGTTGGGTCCACCTAGGGGAGCCGGCCATCTTTGGCTGAGCACCAGGAGCAACTAGTGAGTGGAAGGAGCCTATCCCGCTGAGGCACGTCAGGCCAGGACCTGCTCCAACCCTGTGATTTTCTGCCCAGGTGGACATGTACCCAGAGCAGCATCAGCCCCCAGTACAACATCTGCGAGCAGATGGTTCAGATCCGGGACGACCACATCCGCTTCATCTCCGAACTCGCTCGCTACAGCAACAGTGAGGTAAGCTCGCTCTGGCTGCTGGGATGGAGGCCTGTGGGGGCTCAGGGTACGAAGCGGCAATGACCAGCCAGGAAGGAAATGATCCCAGGGATGATGGAGAGCAGCAGGGAGGCAATACACATCGGAGGCAAGAGGGCCGGGGGGCCGAGAGCATGGATTTTAGAGCCAGACAGAACTGGATTTAATTCTGGTTCAGCCACTGACCTTCACAAGTTACTCACAATGTCTGTGCCTCAGTTTCCTCATCTGTAAAATGAGGGTAATAGTATCTGGAAAGGTTCATTGAGAGGATTAAACAGTAGGATGCATGGAAAATGCATCCTGCCCAGCAGATTACAGTGACCCAGTATTGGTTCATCTGCATACGATCCCAGCCATTTCCACCCTGGACGGCAAAAGAAACAGTTCTGAACACTCATGCTCAAAGCACTATCTGAGTATTTTAAAACTACACAATAATAAATTATCATTGTGACACATCAGAAAATGCAGTTAGGGACAGAGAAGGCCATAAAATCTCTTATAATCCCACCAATTACATTTTTACTGACGTTACATTTTTCTTCTTTTTTTTAAATATGGAAATATAGTCAATGCACAAACCTCAGAAAAAATACAAATATGCAAAGGAGGGACATTAATCATGTAAAATTCTACCAACCAGAACCAATTGTGATTAATATTTGGGTTTATATATCCTCCTGGACTCTTCCCATATATACTCTTCTAGTAAATGTATATGTTGGTTTGATAAACACAGGTCCCCCCCCACTTGATTTGAACCTGGATGACTCTGCACTATCCCACGTTTGCTCACTGGTTCCACCGTGTGGCTCGCAGCCATAGTGCACATGCTTTCCAAACCCAAACTCTGAAAATGTCTTTGATCAAAGGGCAGCATATTTGAAATGAGGACAGTCAGACAAGTACACACGGTGTGGTCATTAGACAGGTGGCCCATGTTCTTATGAGGGCTCCTGGAAGACATGGACCAAGGTCAAGCCCCAGCCTTTAGCCTTCTTAACCATATGTGGCAATCATCTGAACTAAAGCTATGGGAGTAATTTCAGAGCCGGGGTCTCCTTCATTCTTGTCAAGTTTTGGTGGGATCTAAGAGTGAATCTGGCCTCAAGTTGTTTTTTAAGTTGTACATTTTACACATGTGTATCCACAAACAATTCTCATTACTTGCAGTAATTATATTCTGTAAAGTGGGCATGAACACTGGATCAGCAAATACTGAACCACTGCTCCTCGAAGAAGTACAGAGTTAAGTTCCTGTGAACTTCTGGTCACAACATTTTCATAGGCTGATCAATGTATAACCTTGTTTTCTGTGTGTTTCTATTTAAAGACACCATATGTAATAGATATTGTTTATTCATAGACATTAACTCACATGCAACAGCACTATAACTTGATGTCCAGACAAAGCTTATATAAAACACGTGCTTTTCCTCTAAGGCACATCATAGCCTTCTTGCAGTTAGGATCACTACACAGAACTCTAGCACTACACTTGGGGCCATTTTAAATAGTGAAATCACCAGTAAAAAGTACAAGAATATGGAAAATGTGGCATTAAATAAACCATGAAAAGGACACGTATACAGCATGATTGCTGAAACAAGAAGGCAGAGATTCCCCATGTTCACCCTCAGCTGGGACATGACTCAGATTTTTCACCATTCTGCACATACCTGCGAATGACCAGTAAAGGGACTGCAAGCATTGACTTGGAGATTGCAAATAAATTTCAGGGAGTAGACAAATTCACAAATACAGAACCCACAAATAATGAGGACTGACTCTATATGTAGATACATATATGTACCTACATACATGTATGCACATATACGTATATGTGTGTGCACGTGCATACGTGTATATGTATATGTGCACATGCACATACATGTACATATGCATGCACGCGTATATACACATGCATGGGCGTACACGTATGCACATGTATCTATATGCACATGCATACATCCATACTGCCTTATGGAATAATATACATTCAAATAGATGTTTGTCCAGCACTTTTCAGTTGTTGTGTCATATCTAATTAATGAGCTGTGAAATTAATTTAGTGACTTATGATTAGCATTGTGTATGACAGAATAGACAATCAGAGGAATTCTCATGTGTTAAGAGTAAAGTTGCTTCATGAAAAGTGTTCGTTCATATATATATATTTAAGATCTCTATGCAGGTATGTGTTCCTGAGTCACTCTGTGGTGTGCACTTCCTACTGTAATTTGCAGTTTAAAAATTTGAAAGCCGCCACCCTGCAGTATAACAGGGTAGTTGTGAGTGGGGCTACGGCATCACACCACCTGAGTTTGAACCCGCAGCCATTTACAAGCCATGTGGCCTTCAACAAAGAGCTTGTCTGAGCCTCAGTTTATCTATCCAGGGGATATAATAATAGCACCTCCCTTGTATTATTCTTGGGGGAATCAGTGAAATAATGTCTAAAAGTGCCAGGCGCATACATGGTGAGGGTGACGGCCCATGTTCCCCAGGTGGTGACAGGCTCCGGGCTGGACAGCCAGAAGTCAGACGAGGAATACCGCGAGCTCTTTGACCTGGCCCTGCGGGGCCTGCAGCTTTTATCCAAGTGGAGCGCCCACGTCATGGAGGTGGTAGGTGTCCTGAAGGCAGAGGGCCTGCCCCTCCCCGGACCCCTCCAGCCTGACCTCTGTGCACACGGACTCTTGTCTGCCTCTCCCCAGCACTCTTCTTTTAACAGCCTTACTGAGATATAATTCGCACACTGTACCATTCACTCACTGAAAATGTAGATTCATTGGTTTTTAGTATATTCGCAGAATTGTTAACCACAGTTAACACAGTTAACTTTAGAATCTTTTTATTCTAAAAACCACAGTTAAATTTAGAATCTTTTTATCAGTTCCAAAAGAAACCCTGTGCAATCAACCCCCATTCCCGACCCCCACAACCCTAAGTAATCTGTCTTCTGTCTCTAAAGATCTCCCTCTTCTGGATGTTTCCCACAAGTAGAATTATATACTATGTGGTTATTTGTGTCCGGCCTCTTTCACTTCATGCCTTCAAGAACCATGATCCATGTTAGAGCATGAATCAGAACTTCATTCCCTTTTATGACTGAGTCATACTCCCCTACATGGACATACCACATTTGGTTTTTCCCTTCATCCACTGATGGACATTTGGGTTCTTCCTCTCTCCCCAGTACTCCTGGAAGCTGGTTCACCCCACTGACAAGTTCTGCAACAAGGACTGCCCTGGCACGGCGGAGGAGTATGAGAGAGCCACGCGCTACAATTACACCAGTGAGGAGAAGTTTGCCTTTGTCGAGGTGGGTGCTGACTCCCTGCATTAGCCCCCTACCCCGAGGCTGCTGCTTGGTGTTGATCCTGGTGGTTCCGGGAGTGCTTCTGAGCAAGATGGCAGCCATGGTCCTCCTTGTGCATACACTTCCTGTCTTCCTTCCGCCTGAATTCATCTCTGTCAAAAGTTACCCTTCAAGGGCGCCTGAGTGTTGCAGTTGGTTAAGCGACCCACTCTTGGTTCCAGTTCAGGTCATAATCTCCAGGTGGTGGATTGAGCCCTGTGTCGGGCTCCATGCTCAGCACAGGATCTGCTTGGAATTCTCTCCCTCTCCCTCTGCCACTCCTGCTCATGCTCTCATTCTCTCTAAATAAATAAATCTTAAAAAAAAAAAAAAGTTACCATTCAAAAATGATTAGAAACTCATTCTGTTCCCGAGAATCCAAGGGAAAGCATTCACTCCACTAGAAAAATGGGCAAAAGGAAACCAACAGCAGAAACAAGGACAAAACCAATGGCTAAAAGAGATAAGAAAAATGCCCAAACTGATGAATAATCAAAGAACCTCAGGTGGAAACCAAGATGAGATGAGTTGTCAGATTTAGTGTCTCATTTTCTTACCTTTTCTGTCTTATTGTCCATCGCTTATTTTGTTCTGTTTTATGGGATATTTCCTGAAGGTCAACTATTAGTATTTTTTATTGTGCCTATTATATTTTTAATGTCAGAAGCTCCATCTTGTTCTCTGAATGTTCCTTTTAGAAGACCCCGTTCTTGTGCCATGCGTTTGATAGCTTCATGAGGATAGTATAGTATTTTTATTATCTTTATTGAGGTATAATTTATGTTCAATAAACTGTATCCACTTAAAGTGTATAATGCCAAGAGTTTTGATCATTGTATACACCCTGTGAAACCAAAAAGATTAGATGCAGAACATTCTGTGCTCACTTTGGCAGCACATGTACTAAAATTGGAACAGTACAGAGAAGGTTAGCGTGGACCCTCTGCAAGAATGACACACAAATTCACAAAGCATTCCCTTTAAAAAAAAAAAAAAGATGCAGAACATTTCCATCTCCCCTTAAAGACTTGGTGTTGCTTACCATCTATCCTCCCACCATCCTTGGGCCTGATCACTTTTTTTTTTTTTTTGTCACCATAGATTTGTTGGCATTTTTTATCATTTTGTTTGGTTGGTATTTTTTTGTGTTTGGCTTCTTTTACTCACGGTCATAATTTTGAGTTTTACCCCCATTGTTCTGTGTATCAATAGTTTGTTTCATTTATTGTTGAGTATTATTCCACTGTATGGATATATACTGTAATTTGCTTACCCATTCAACTGTTGATAAACACTGGGCCATTTCCAGCTTTGGGCTAGTATGAATAAACTTGCTTTAAAGATTTGAGTATAAGTCTTTGTATAGATATAGGTTTTTATTTCTCTTGGAATGGTCATATTGTAGGTGACTTAACTTTTTGCTTAACTTTTTAAGGAACTGCCAAATGGTTTTCCAAAGTGGAGGTACCATTTTATATTCCCACCAACTGTATATGAGCGTACTATTGCTGTAACACCCTCAGTCCTTGATTCTTTCAATTTTATTAATTTTAGTCATTCTAATGGCTGTTTAGTGAAATCTCATTGGAGTTTTAATTTGCATTTCCCTGAAGACTGATGATATTGAGCATCTTTTCATGTGCTTATTGGCCACTCATATATCTTCCTTTGTGAAATCCTGTCTTCTGAAATCTTTTGCCCATTTTTTTAAATTGGGTTTCTGTCTTCTTCATATTGAATTGTGAGAATTCTTTTTTTTTTATTTATTTTTTTTTTATTCTTATGTTAATCCCCATACATTACATCATTAGTTCTAGATGAAGTGTTCCATGATTCATTGTTCGTGCACAACACCC